TTTAATTTCTATCAAATAAAGACTAAGTGGTAAAGGACCTTGATTCATTGACCAATGAGATTGCAATGTACTTCAACGCATGGACAAAAAAAATAAGTAGCACACTGCAGCAATTTGAATAATATTGTAAACTAAAGTTTGTATTAAAAAAAAAAGAAAAAAAAGAGTCAAGAACTAAATGTTAAAAAAACACTAGTGCAAAATCAGTTAAATTTAAGAGTATTGTTATTCATCATTAGTATAAATAATGAAGTTACGATATATTTTAATGCATTGAATGAATTTTGAACCATCTCTAATGTCATTATTTTAAATTTAATTCATCCTTAAACTTTAAATGAAATTCAATTCAAAATATTTTTTTCTCAAACTATAATTTATTTCCGTATAAAGAAAAGAAAAACTCCTTCAAATGCTAATAGCGAGAGAGAGGACCTATTGGGATTCCATGAATTTCCACTCCTATTTCCACTCTCTTCCATTAATTTTCAAGTTTTTCCAATCGATGTATGGGCCAAGAAAGGCAAACCATATAAAGATTCAAAACAGAAAAGAATGATTCCAATTCAATATTCTTTCATTTTTTCTTCCCTGGTTCCATTTTTCTGGCAAATTCTTCTCCATGGATGCCAGGACATGATCTGATAAAAAACCATAGAAAAAAGTAAACGAAAAAATCCAAGTCGAAAAAGTTTCATTTTATTCTTATAAAGGCGTACAGGAAGACTTTGCGGGAATCCGTCTTCAAAAGATTTGTTTTCCTGTACGCCATATTCCTTCTCCATTTCATGCAGCCATGCACACAAATATAAAAATAATATTGTTACTTATAAGCCTGTTTTCATTTTCCACTACCATTTATGGAGCAGAAAGTAAAAACTCGAATTCATTGTTGTTGGCTTGTGGATCTGGAAATGGTGGGAAAGATTCAGATGGTCGTGCTTGGGAAACTGATAAGAAATACCTAGTGAATGGTGAAAAATCCGTGCAGACAAAGGCTGAGATCCAGGATCCTTCATTATCTTCCGAAGTACCGTACATGACAGCGAGAATTTTCACTTCTGAAACAATGTATCAACTTCCCGTTCAAAATGCGACAGCACGTACTTTGCTTCGACTGTATTTCTACCCATCTTCGTACCCGAATTTCAACATTTCCAATTCGTATTTTTCAGTAGTTGTTGGTGGAGTCATCCTCGTGAACAATTTCAGTGCTTTTTTAACTTCTGAAGCATTGTCCCAGGCTTATTTCATTAAAGAATATTTCCTGGCCCCATCAGAATTTTCCACTCTTAATGTCACCTTCAAGCCATCTGATAAACAACCCCAATCTTTTGCTTTTGTCAATGGCATTGAGGTCCTTTCAGCACCAGAACTATTCAGTACGGAACCAGAAATTGTTGGGACTGGTGAAGTCAGTGAAGACTTAACTTGGGATGCAGCCACTACAACTGTTTCACTGGATGGTATCAGCATTGAAAATTTGTACAGATTGAATGTCGGCGGGCAATATATTTCCCCAAGTAATGATTCCGGAGGCCTAATGCGTAGTTGGTACGACGACACTCCCTATTTGTTTGGCGCTAGCATAGGAGTCGCAGAAAAGGCCGATGTGCCAGTTGGGTACAAAGGCTTGCCGTCATATACTGCACCATTAGGCGTCTACTCAACATTCCGTTTTATTGGTCCTGATGCGGATATAAACAAGAATGTCAACATGACATGGAGATTCCAGGTTGATCCCAACTTCATGTACCTTGTCAGGTTGCACTGGTGTGATGCTGAAATGACGAAAACTAATGAAAGAGTTTTTGATGTATACATCAACAATCAGACTGCAGCAGATACCGTTGACTTGTTTGCCTGGCAACATTCTATTGCAAGTCCTACAACGAGGGATTATGCAATTAGAGTTACTGACAATAACGGGGATGCTGAAATATGGGTGGCGCTCCACCCAAATGTTAAAGATAGACCTCTATATTACGATGTTCTTTTGAATGGATTGGAGATATTCAAACTAAGTGATGAAAAATCAAATCTTGCAGGACCTAATCCAAAGATTTCAGATATGATGAGGAAGTATCAGGACAAACAAGCAGCAGCACCGAGGGCTTTTGCTCATAAGAGTTCCACCACTACCTCGGCCCTTGTCACTGGTGCTGCTGGCGGAGCTGCTGCTTTTGGGGTAGCGGCTGCCATTTTTCTTGTTGCCTACAAGAAGAAACAGAGAGTCCTTGGAGACACGACTAGCTGGTTACCAATGTCCTGGAATTCTAGTAATTCATCAGGGACAAAATCATCTGTTTCTGGCAAGAGTCAAGGCAGCACGACGATTTCTTCAGATGCTGCGTGTAACTGTCGCTATTTCACCTTGGCTGAAATAAAAAATGGAACTAAAAACTTCAGTGACTCTAACGTCATTGGGGTTGGTGGATTCGGGAAGGTATACAAAGGTGTAATCGATGGAGATACCCCAGTTGCAATCAAGAGATCAAACCCATCTTCAGAACAAGGAGTTAATGAATTCCAGACGGAAATCGAGATGCTTTCCAGGCTAAGGCACAGACACCTGGTTTCCCTGATAGGATTCTGCGAAGATAATAGGGAAATGATATTGGTTTACGATTATATGGGAAACGGGACTCTAAGGGAACATCTTTACAAGGGAAATAAAATCATTCTTTCCTGGAAACAGCGGCTGGAAATTTGTATCGGGGCAGCGAGGGGACTCCATTACCTCCACACGGGGGCAAAGTACACTATCATTCACAGAGATGTTAAGACAACGAACATTCTTGTTGATGACAAGTGGGTTGCTAAGGTTTCAGATTTTGGATTGTCTAAAACAGGTCCCAACATGAACAAAGGCCATGTTAGTACTGTTGTGAAAGGAAGTTTTGGATACTTGGATCCGGAATACTTTCGAAGACAACAATTGACTGAGAAATCCGATGTATACTCATTCGGGGTTGTTCTCTTTGAGGTACTCTGCGCGAGGCCTGCTTTAAATCCAAGCCTACCAAAAGAGCAGGTCAGTCTTGCCGATTGGGCTCTACGTTGTGCGAGAAACAAGACTCTAGAGGACATCGTCGACCCCGGACTAAAAGGAAAAATCACCCCAGAATGCTTGAAGAAATTCACAGAAACTGCCGAGAAATGCTTGTCGGATCATGGCGTTGACCGTCCTTCCATGGGGGATGTTCTCTGGAATCTAGAGTTCGCTCTGCAGCTGCAGGAGAATCCCGATTCAAACGTCACCACGCTTGGTAGCGACAGCAGCAGCAGCATGGATTATCAAAATGCTGAACAAATTGATCAGAACAACCTCATAGCCATGCATCGAAATACCTTAAATCTTGGAAATGACAATGATGCAAATGATTCATCAGATGATAGCTTCTCACAGATTGTCAATCCAAAGGGCCGCTGAAAATTCTCTGCACCATCTTGTATTCATGAGAATTTTAGATGTCTAACAAAACAAAATGCTACTTCGTCCGTATTTAATAATGTAAAGAAATAACATTTCCTTTTGATAAATAGAGTATATTGTTAATATGTTGTTGTTACCCGTTTTTGCTCTTGAATTATTTTAAGAGAATATGTTATCATTTTATTTATTTATTTATTGTTATTAGTATTATTTTATTATTATTATTTTTTTTTAGCCTAGTAAGGCATTGCCACAATAATCTGGATTAGAAAGCATTTTTTTTTTGTTCATTTCGTTATTTCACACGACCCGTCCCGAATCACCCTACTGGACCCGAAATGTGACGTGCGCCGATGATAGATGCTGACTAGATGTCAAATCTATCACCAAAACTGACTATGAGTTATTTCAAAAAATGCAACAAAATCAAATGCTTATGTAAAACATAATGCGATGGGTCCAAATTATTTACTTTGTACTTCATCAAAATGAGTTATAACACTCAACATATCGTGTGGCTCTCATTCCGAAATCATTAGGCTTTTCCAACTAAAAGGAATCAATTGCTACCTGTTGAAAAAAATCGTGGAAAAATATATGATTTGATAGCTCAGTGAGTGGATAAGTTTGAAAATAATTATACTTTTTCAATTTTACATTTTTATCGAAATCGAGTTCATATCATTTAATAATTCACAAAATAACATCATGTAATTATAATCAAAAGTGAAATATTCACATAAGGTCGTAAAATATCATCTCAAAATATGAAATAAATATCAGCTGATAACTATGCTATAATCTTATCACATCAAACGTGCTGAAAAATCCACCAAAAAAGTACCTTCTAACTGAAACATATAATCCGCCTCTCGGGCTAAAAACTTTCGCCACGGGCCTTTAGCCCCTCTGTGAACGAAAGTCGGTCTCAAAAACCTCTCATAATCAATTTTAGAACACGGTCAAGACCCCTAGGTGAACTATATTTACACGGTCGAGACCCCTTCATCCTCGGTCCAAGACCCCTCAGTGTAGTATAGAACACGGCCAAGGCCCCTCAGTGAATTAGA